ACAAAAAAAAAAAACCAAACAAAATTAAAAAAAAGGCCAAATTTATCAAGCAAGTTCATTTGGATTTCTCTTCCTTAATGAACATGTCTACCAAAATAAAAATAAAAATTTGGGGTGGTAATTCCAAAGGTAATTATAAATCAAAAATCAACATTTCTACCCCATTTATAATTTAGAAAAAATATTAAACGAAACATAGAAAAATTGAAGTAGTAATTCTAAAGGCAAATGATAACAATTGAAACCGAAAAGAAAGAAAGAAAAAAAGAGAGAAGGAAATATCAAGCCAAAAAAAAATAAAAAATAATAGAAGAAAATAGAAAACAAAAAAACCGGGTAGCCAAAGCCTTTTATTTGGTTGCTGTTAGAAAAAAAAAACATTAAATAAAGCCTGATGTATGTTGCAACTTTTCAAAATGTGGAACCCACTTGGGCTTTAGGGGCACTATCAAAGTCCACTGATTTAGAGACAGTTCCGGTGGGGCTTTATGAAATAGAGCCCCAAATCTCTTCCATTAGGGATGCCTTTTTGCACATGGACTCTATATTATAGATCTCCAAGGAGGTTGAGCCCCATTTAAGGCTCTCGTTGGCGATGGCCTAACATATCCATCAATGTCGAATTTCTCATCTCAATAAGGACTAAAATATCGACGAAATATCAGGGATATTATCTTTTTTTGGGTCTCAGATATTTTTGAATATATCCATACACATTGTATAAGTATCGATAATGTCGAAAAATATCGACGTCGATAATTTCTCACTTCAGCAACATTTGGCTAAAATATCGCTATACTATCAATCATATCGATAATATCGAGATGATTAAGATAATGAAAAATTTAAAGAGTTATTTACACTGACACCCTCTGAGATTTTTTGTGTTTTTACAAAACCCCCTCAAGTCTCAAAAATTACATGAACATCTCTTGAGGTTTTAGTTTGTTTTCACAAAATCCTTTTTCGTTGATTGTTTGTCTAAAAATTGATGATTTCATTGAAAAAAAAAAAACTTATGCAAATGACAAAATTAACCTCAACGAAGTATATGCAATCTAATCTCAAAGGCCAACTTTGTCATTTGGAGATATTTTTGTATAAAATCATCAATCTTTGGATGAAAAATCAATGAAAACAAGTTTTGTAAAAACAATTTAAAACATCCAGGGGTGTTCTTATAATTTCTAAAACCTCAAGGAGTTTTGTGACAAAACTGAAAACCTCAGAGGATGTTAGTGTAAATAACTCAAATTTGAACCTTATAGGGACTCTATGTGATACTAAGTCACTTATGTATCTTACCATGCAATCTATAAGGTGTAAAATATTGTAGTAAATCATTATAAATAAATTATTATGAAGATTTTCATTAATTACTACATATTTTTTAAGGAAAATTAGGTATTAGACATAGATAACTTTACTTATTAGTATTTAAGACATTTGATATTTTGGTTTGGGTTTTAATACCTAGAAAAGAATTGTTATTTTGGATTAGGCCAAAGAGGAAGACCAGATTTGTTGACCCACCTTACATTAGTCATTAAAAAGATAATTATACCCTTTTCATTTAAAAACCTAACCCAAATTCGTTAGTTTCTCAGATCTTGATCTCTCTCTCTCTCTTCCCTCTGTTTCGACCGACACCGACAAAACCCCCTAGCCACTGTAACGTCGGCCACCCAGCCACCGGACCGGTCAAGTTTTGACCGGCGTCGCACCCCAAGCCAGCTCCGACCTTCCTCCTACCTCTGCTGCTGCTGTT